TCTCTCTCTCTCTCTCTCTCTCTCTCTCTCTCTCTCTCTCTCTCTCTCTCTTTCTCTCTCTCTCTATGTCGCCCACTCTCTCTCTTATTCTCACCGTGCCCCTTCCCCGACCCCCTCCTGTCTGTTTGTCTGTCTGTCTGTCTGTTTTTCTTTCTGTATGTCTGTCTGTCTGTCTGTCTGTTTGTCTCTCTCTCTCTCTCTCTCTCTCTCTCTCTCTCTCTCTCTCTCTTTCTCTCTCTCTCTATGTCGCCCACTCTCTCTCTTATTCTCACCGTGCCCCTTCCCCGACCCCCTCTCTTTATTTCTCTCTTTCTCAGTCTGTCTATCATTTTGTCTGTCTGTCTTTCTGTCTGTCTATCCATATATCCATCTATCTATCTATCTATCTATCTATCTATCTATCTATCTATCTATCTATCTATCTATCTATCTATCTATTTACAGTTTGTATGGCTCTCTGTCTACCTATCTATAAAGGCCTAGGTAACTATCTGTCTGTCCATCAACCTGCTTCCTCCCCTCTTCCGTGTTCGTATCTATCGTGGCCACTCTCTTATTCTTTTGGCCCTATTTTTGTCTATTTATCTGACTTCTCTCGAAAAGCAAACTCTTCAGTATGTCACCACTATGTATTTCATAGTATGCATTGACCTGTAAAACGCCCGAACCAAAATTAAACAAACCTGACATCCGTGTTCAAAGGTTCCGGTACCCACCGTCACTCACATCGTGAGATGGCACTGCGTAAACAAAACGCAACTTTTCTGTTGTTATACTCGCCTCTTCTCCATAATAGTACGTACTTTTTCGTTTCTGAGCTGTCATTCTTGAACCTTCACGTACTTTCAGATAGTTTCACAAAAAATGTAATACAGGTTTCAGAGAGTAGGGACTCTTTATATTCATTTGTGCGTATACACGTGTCAAAAATACAGAATAGAACCATTTAAGTCTATAGCTTAAGAACAGTACTGTAGTAGTTCGTTTTACCTTTGAGTATGAACTGGCGTATTTCAAATTGTTCTAAATAACTTTTGCATTTTGAAATTATCTTTGAAAGGGAACGAATAATGTAGCCGACGACCGTTTCTCCAATACCAATCATAATATCATTTTGGCCGTGCAGTGTATCATGAGGTTTATTATTCTGTTGTTTCTATTTTCTTTGAACACATCTGAGATTAGGCCAAAGATGACAGTCTATGAGTTTAAAGTCAAACTGCTGCCTTTTGCGCTTTTGAAAGGCCTTCCTGATAATGTAAATGTATCCTCTTAGTTCCAATATAATGGCACTCAAAGTGTACTGCATAAACCCGTGCATCAAGTCAAATGCAGTTTCTGGGACACTTGGAATGATATAAAGGCCTTTAACACCCTGCTGTTACTGGAAACAAAAGGCAAATGAGACTAGGGTTGACCAAGAGCAACTCGACTAGAAAACCTGAACAGATCGCTGACCGGTAAAGCCCAGAATAAGCGTCTTCGATTTTTAGAGCATCAAAAAAAAAAAAAAAAAAAGAAATGAATCACGAACCTTGATTGTTTATGTATGCTTCATACTTGTCCCTTTCTGATAAATAATGATCAACTCGGTAGTGTATTCAAAGAATGCGTTGGTATGAAAACGGTTATTTTAAAAAAATGTTTTGCTTTTCTTACACAGGAAAACCTTTCATCCGGGATTCGGAGATCCCCGAGAAACTACAGGAAGTGACCAACACATCAGCTCTTTTGAAATGTCCAGCTGGCGGTCAACCTCCACCACAGGTAAATGTTTTCTATGCGCAAATTCTATAAGTAGAATAGATACTTACTTGCTTATTCATTCCATAGTCTATATGACCGTTGGGGGCACCAAGCATGATCGGGCAACCACATTTCTCCACCCGTCTCCAATTTTCAGCCTTTCAAATAGCTTCACCCAACATAAAACAATGTTGGGAAACATTTCGAACCATTATTTCGTTAACTTGAAATACCAATTGGCATAATTGTTTTATAGAATACGTATTGTTGTCTCATTTTTGAAGTTTCAGAAAAATAAAATAAAACGGAATGGAAAAAAATCTGTATGAAAATCGAAGTTGTACTTTTAGATAATTGCCCTAGATTACGAGTCTTCAAAAGCAGTCAAATGACCAGAATACACGTCCTCATTAAGTCAAGCCACCTGAGTGAAATAGGAATACATATTATTATGAACAATGTACGTCAGACGCAAACGAGATATTATATAGAATGACACCAAATTTACAATGTACATTACAACATTCTTGGCGTAAATGAAGAAAGAGAGAGAGCATGCACTTTGGGTATATCTAACTTTGACGGATCCAAGTTAAAAGTTAAATTGTTCACTTCACGAAGAAGAGTAAGGCGCAAGGTTCCAGATGGAAGTGAAGATAAAATGATCTTATACATTATGCACCTTGTGTTTATCAAACTGCGACTGATCCGTGTTTAACATAAACATTCAATTCAAGAATAGAATAAAGGCAAACATTTTCCTTCTTGAAACAACTTGTGGCAAGCATGTAAAGGAAAGAGAGTGCAGATTGTTTTTTTATAAGCCTCCAGTTTCATAATATGATTTTACTACACCTTCTGACTCCCTCTCTCTCTCTCTCTCTCTCTCTTTCTCTCTCTTTCTCTCTCTCTCTCTCTATCTCTCTCTCTCTATCTCTCTCTCTCTTCTTTTGTGTTTCTGTTTCTCTCTTTCTCTAAGCGTGTCTGTATCTAACTGTCTCTCTCCCTATCTATTTCTTCTTAAAAAAGGAACGTTAATTTCAGACAAACATCCTGTCGTTGTGGCAAAAGTGCACAATTGGAGTATTTGGTCGATACCATTTCTTTGTTCTTCATATAATGTAAAGGGGTCAACTCTTTCTCAACAATGCTCTCCAGACATTTACTGTCCCAAATGTGAAGGAAACGGTGCGAAAAGGTGATGCTTAAAAGATAACATCCCTTCAAGTGTTGGCAAGTTTTCAAGACATAAACGCTTTTGCCGGATGACCTACTCCCTTTGACAGGGCGGGTTTTTTCTATGTTTACTGTTGGTCTAGATAGTACGTTAGGCAGAACTCGGTTACACAGAATAGGGTCACTAAGGCAGACCTACGGCTTTCGTTTTCACTTGGCTACATTGCTATTTTGCTTTTGTTAGCTCCACGCATTTCCTTCAAGCACCTGACATCTTTCACGTAAGACAAATAAATGGCCAGCTGTCCTGTTACATAAACGCATGTAATTTGAGATGTGTTTATTGCTTGAGTAAATCAGAACCGATGAACATTCTGTATCGATGAGATTTCAACTAGGAACAACGGATGCAGAAGTTTACGGTCCAATCTTTATTGGTACAAATTCAATAGTTTTTGGGGACATCTGGTATTCTTCCATTAGGAAAACACCTACAAAGCTCTTTGTCTTTCGCTGCCCCATAAACACTGTTATCTGATTTGACATTCCATTCTAAAAGCATTCATTTAATCAACTGATTAATTTGATCTGCAGATCTTCTGGCTTCGAGGTGACGAGGTCCTAGAGTCATCTCCCAAGTTTGCCATGAGTTCCCTTGATGGTGTTCCGTCCGGCCAGCTGAACATTGTCAATCTGACAGTCGAAGACATGGGCACGTACAAGTGCACGGCGGAGAACTCCCGTGGTAAGGCGACCGTCAAGTTTGAGATCGGCGATCCGGGCAACGTGAATTCCGCTTTGACAATTTCACCCGGAAAAGCTAACTCCATTATAACATTGTTATCTTTGATCTTCGTTGGGATCCTGGCTAGAGAGACTTGAGTCGTGCCAGGAGAAAACCTCTTTCGAGCATTTTCTGTTATGCTCTCGCCAAGTATTTTGTACTGTAATTTTCAATCAATAGGAGCGACAACTTGGACTTAACAATGATCTCTGATAAAACTCCTTTACTTTGCCACTGGTCCATCTTTGGGAACAAGCACAAATTAGATTAATGTACAGTGATACAATCACAGTGAGGTTTTATCATTCTTGTTCTTCCAGATTACACAATCGGAGTTATACTTTTATCGCTTACTACACATTTTACTGGGGCACATAAAGTAGTCAGTTTCGACAACGTACAACAGAGTTTCATTCCCCGAACAAAAAAAGGGGGTGATAAGTAATTGTTGTTTTATTCCACCAAACGCCACTCTGTCCCTACTTTTCTGCTTTGTCATCGTCGAATTTGAAGTTCTATTTCAAGCGTACAACCGAATGCCTTAATGCTTGTAGTTTTGGCATCACCTTTCCATCATGCCTACTCTATTAGTATAATATGAAGGATATGTTTCTACTTTTTGTTTGTGTGCTGTGCCATTGGAGAACAGGGTATACAATAAGGACACAATTTCACATGCGATTTCCTCGGCCCACATCTACTTATGAGATGGTTTGATTCGTCCACATTTTTTGACTCTTCAGAAACAAAACAAAGGAAACAGTGACTGTTGACGTTGTAGTAGCTTACAGTGTCAATGCCTATTTGTTCTTTGTCAACACAATGAGACATAACAGTGTCATATTTCTTAACGGGTGGTAATGTTTTTGCACTGCGCCTTTTGCGACTACAGCCGTAAAGATCACATTGCTTATAACAGAGCGCTGCTTTCCTCTGTGTTCAAAGCACCACGCTGCGAGGTTCAAGTGGTGTGTCGTCTTCAAGCACAGTCTTGTAACAATCCCAACGCCGTGGGCTGTTTTGCTTGAGATACAGTCACTCTCATTGTTAACTTTTGTATTTGATGTTTAGCTGTCTGTACGAATATCAGACATGGAGGATCAGCAGTGAAAAGTATGGCCTATACCCATGCTTTGATTGACATTTCAGTTCACTTAAAGTATCTTAGATTTGGGGAAGATAAAAATGAGAATATTGAGACAAAGAGGTAAGCACGATATCGCAGTTTCCCCAAATTCTTTCGAGTTAGAGGAAACATTCACCATTTCAAAAATAAGAATTGACTAAGCAAATTAAAATACAATAACAAAACATATTGTTTTCTCTCTTTAATTTTTCCTGAGGGGGGGGGGGGGGGGTCTTTATCCAAACACTGGGGAGTGGTGCATTATAATATACCTATACATCGGAGACATGAAATAGGCAATAGCGTCTCTAAAAGAAAAAAAAATCCAACTAAAGTGGTTTGAAAATCATCTAAACATTTAGATCTATTATGAAAAAAACCCCTGGGGTATGGTATTTTTAACCCAGTAGTTTTTACAGCTTTTGCTTCGACACTTTCCAGAGAATAAAAGAAAATAATAATATTATTATTTTTCAAGACACTAACTATTTAGTCAACTTGACTAAGATGGGATACTTCTTTTCCTCACGACTGTCACTGATGAATGCAGGGCCAGAGAACCTTTCTATATTGTGGGGTTGTTGGATGCCGTCGATTTGTCAGTTTTGCTCAATGTTGGCCCATTCATTGCCACTCTATCTCCATTGATCTTACACACCCGTGTGAACGTGTAATCGTCATGCTGGCAGTCCTCGTCGTCGTCGTCGTCGTCGTTCTCACCGTTGCAGTCGTGTTCGTCGTGGTCCACCATCTCCTATTCCTTTTCTTCCTCCTCCTCTGCTCCTTCTCTTCCTCCTTCTCCTCCCCATCTCCTCCTCCCCCTCTACAGCTTCACCATCATCATAATTATTATATCATCATCATCAGCATCATCATCAGCCTCCTCCTCATCATTATCATCGTCGTCGTCATCATCATCACATCATCGCCATTATCACCATCATCGTTTTATCATTATCTTCCATGGTACGAATACCATAAATGTTATTTTGAAGCTTTTCGTTACAAAAAAATTCCCGATTTTACATTCTTTTAAAAGTTTCACTATACCTTTGGGATTATTATAATTGTAATATTTAATATGTATAAGAATGAAATAATAATTATTATTTCATTATGATAAATATTGAACGTTTGGCTTCCAGTTTCAACACTGAATTGGTCAATAATTGCAATTGCAATATCTTGAATAATTTACGTTATAAACACCCAACGAGCCTAACTCCATGACATTTCTTTTTTGCTGATAATCTGCACTGTTAAAACATTACTTTAGAACCTGTACATACCCGTTTTAGTTAGATAAATGACTGGATATACTCATTCCAATACCTATGAATTACTTGTTTGAAAAAGTTGTTTAAAGTTATGTTCTAAAGCAATGGTGTGTTCTGATGGGGTAGTTAGAACAATGGAGTAACAGTTGGGATTCAAGGAATCCAATTATCATCCGGCGTTAGTGTAGTGCGTTCTGTGTAGGCATACCAATATCTGTGGTTTGTTTTTCCTTTCTCTTACCATCAGCATCGACCCAGAACCATTGAATGTAAGTCGATGGTTTCAACACTATAGCAACCTCAGTTAAGATTTCCGTAGCTTTATTAATTCTTAATTTGAGCTCTTCGAGCAATTATAATAACAAACCTTTGTCTGGGGATTAGTTTTTACTTTCTTGTAATTGTTGTTTCCATGGTATTGTGTCTTGAAACTAGACGACTCTAGTACAACAGAGCCAAGGGTCAGACCGTGGGAAACAAGAACGTTGTAATGAGAAAGAAAGGTAAAAGAAGACAATGTGACCGAAGGAAGAGAGGAAATATAAAGAGAGATAGAGGAGTGGATATGGAGAGAGACGGCATGAGACAGACAGACAGAGAGAGAGAGAGAGAGAGAGAGAGAGAGAGAGAGAGAAAGAGAGAGAGCGAGAGAGCGAGAGAGCGGGAGAGCGAGAGAGAGAGAGAGAGAGAGAGAGAGAGCGAGGGAGAGAGATATGGAAAATGGGATGGAGAGAAAGATGTGACTAAAGATTGATTGTAAATGTTTTACGGTCCCGTAGACCCAATTTAGATAATTGAAAAGGTGGGCGCTTTTCCCTAGCTTGGCAAACCAACCGGGTTGTCTGGGGTGGCACATCATTGCACAAAGACGAAGATGCCTAACTGAAAAATCTCTCAGATAAGGGACCTAATCCAATGTCTTTTTCGTCCAGTGACGATGAGTCGAACCATTGAACCACAGAAGTGGGTACAGACTTCGGTGATAGGTAGAGAGAGAGAGAGAGAGAGAGAGAGAGAGAGTGTGTGTGTGTGTGTGTGTGTGTGTGTGTGTGTGTGTGTGTGTGTGTGTGTGTGTGTGAGAGAGAGAGAGAGAGAGAGAGAGAGAGAGAGAGAGAGAGAGAGAGAATGGGTGTAAATTTTGCAAGTAATCAAATGGAAAAATTGGAAAGTCTGTATATCCGGACAAACTACTTAAGTGCTTTCAAGTTTGCTCCGTTTTCTCCGCTAATGTTGAGTATTATGGACTAAAAATCAATACTTGTAATAACTGTTTGATTATTAAATGGGCACAGTCTAGTAATTGTGGGCTACATCTTGCCGATTACTCACCAAAGAGCTCATCTTCATTTTGATCGTAGTACGTGTACTTAAGACAACACCTTAAAACAGTAAGGAAACCTGGTGGGTTGAAAAGGTAAGTGTACCTATCTCTTGTATGTCGTAATTAAAAACATCTACTTCCTTGTGTATGAACGGCGTTGCAAACTTGACCAATCAAGAATATTGGAGCAAGACCTTAAAAAACCCAGCATCAGCTATGTGACTCTGGAACTCGTGCGCGAGTGGAAGCTCATACTATAAACCCTATTACAGAATAATAAATTCGCTAGGATTCTAAAATTATCCTCCCAACCACATTTTCGAGCTAATGTAAGATTTGGCCTCTCACTTTGGTTTCCTTGAAAAAACATGAACTGACTAGAGAAATGCATTCGTGAATCAAAGTTAATAAAACCCTTCGTGGCGTGAAGTTGGTTTGAACGTTGAGCTTTTCGCCTTCGAACTTAGCTTAAGAATAGCAGGAAATGTCATTTTCAAAGGAGCAAGATAATTTTTGACCCCATTAGGATTCCAACAGCCAACATATTTTTCAAAGTTTCTATCGAACTGAGTTACTATGGCTGATACGAACCAAGTACATTCTCATATTCATATTTAACTGTATATTGCTGGGAGTACCCTTTGCATTTTGTTATGCTTCGCTATGTACTATTTTGTGAACCTGTTTACTTCAAAAGAGCTGAATGGCACGCTGCTGCACTATGTGCATTTGTTTTATTTTTGTTTTGCTTTCTATATAATAAAGTTTAAGTTAAGAAAGTTGAAGTTTTCCTTCAGTTTCTGTGACGGCGTATGCGTTTTGCAATTTGATGTGTATTTAAGGTATTTGTGATTTTAAATATGAGTGTCAATTCACTGTGGAGAAATATGCCTTGTTTTGCGCAAAATGTTGCATTGATATTAGGAAATGAATAAGCCCTCAACTTCTTTGCAGGCGCAACGACAGTCAAACTTTAGGAACCATACCGTATTTAGAACACCCTCAGCAAGTTAGCCTTAAAGTATACTTGAAGCTGACTCTCAGAAGAGACAGGAGACATAAGCCAACCACCATAACTACGACATTCCAGTGTCCCCACCGCAACAAACATTGTACATCCAGGATAGGATTGCACAGCCTCATGCACGTCCACAGATGAGCTGCAGGATTCATCGTCATCTTCGGCAACGAAGGACTACCTACAAACATACACACTTGAAGCACACAACAGGGTTCCAGTACATGCAAAAATATGTTCCAGGATAACATGCTAAATGGTAACCTAAAATGCAAGATTGCAAGAATAGTTTGCTGTATCTTGAATAAAGACGTCCTAGAGAGGCAGACTGCGGGCGCAAACGTTCGCAAAGTAATCCCTACTCAAAACTGAAGCAAATCTGGCTACTTGTTTCTCTAAGCAATTAAAAGAATGCTGACCCCCAGAAACGGCTAACAATAGCTACAGGAGAGGAAAGGGGCAGTGCTCTGGTGGGAAACTGACCGTGCGGTCTTATGTAACACGTTGTACTGTAGGAAGGTGGGTAGTGAAAACAGTCGGGTGCCCAAAAGATCCGGTTATTTTCTTTGAGTTTTATTTTGCAGCACGCCAGCCTGGCATCGACCACACTTTTGCCCATAACGGTCTCGCCAAAACGCAAAAAAAAAAAAATCCACAGCATGGTTACAAATTATCACCAACTGAGCTCTATCAGTGCAACGAATAAGCACTCCTTTTTTTAACATTTGAAAACAGATGACAGCATTAAAATTACCATAGTTGACACAAGATGATGAATATCTTAAGTTTACATTGCAAGACAGGCAACTGAGAACATCGGTATACCAGAACCCACGATATTACCTGCAAATAGAAGGCTTTTCATTGCCTTTTCCTACATTAAAGTTAACGCTTGTTGACTATCCCCCCCCCAATCAAAGACGCTCCAAAAAAGTTGAATATTACAGTGCTGCCACTGTTACTACTTCTACTACTACTACTACTACTACTACTACTACTACTACTACTACTACTACTACTACTACTACTACTACTACTACTACTACTACTACTACTACTATTACTACTACTACTATTACTACTATTACTACTACTACTACTACTACTACTACTACTACTACTACTACTACTACTACTACTACTACTACTACTACTACTACTAGTACTACTATTATTATTATTTTTATTTTTATTATTATTATTATTATTATTATTATAATTATAATAATAATAATAATAATAATTATTATTATTATTATTATAACTATTATTATTATTATTATTATTATTATTATTACAAGGTACAGACCCGTTCTACGAACGGTGATATGGTGATACAAAATCCCAATATAAAATGTTTGTGGTAAGCTTGCCCTGGATTTGAATGCCTGTTTAGTTTGTTCGCCGCACCCAATTTATTCAAGGCGAGAGCTTTATTGTGTGACCTACAGTGTGGTAAGAAAAAGTTGCCATTCAGTGTTACATGATAATACTTTATTAGTTCCTGCAGGGGTGCAAGAGGTACAGGTATACTATCTTTGCCTTTTTGAGACAGAATGTCTTTCTTTCTTGTCTCCATCTTATGGCATTGCAATGTTCACAGACGACACTGAATTCACCACAGTCATATGGTCACGTGCCCGCAATCTCCGATCAACTTCAGTTTCACTATAGGACTGTGCTTTGCATGCTAAGGCCAACATTGGCACATTGTTTCTTGGCCTAGAACGCTTTAGGTCTTTCTCCAGCTTCTGACTATAAGAACGTAAATTCTGATTGACAGTCGCCTTTCTCAGTTTCATCTTGCTTTCACTTCTCTTTCGTCGTATTAAACAGACTCTACGTTTAGGGGCATATTACTACATTATTAACTAATATTCCAAGGGCATCTTCATTTCGAACAGATCTGGATCTAGATTGACCACTTCTTGCTTACTACTCCAAACCAGTCTTGAATTCTGCGCTCAAAATGCATATTATATAGGATATAACGATCTAGACCCAGAGCCTTGCTGTATGAAAAGCTATGCAGAAAATATGTTCTAAATTCTGAAAAAGTAAATACAGCGAAATGAACATTTTGTGGGTTTAAACGGACTCAACGTGTTGGGGACATCACTACACCAAATATGTCTAGAAAAAGTCATTACACTGAAGTTTGACCTTAAGGCCCATCGATACTGCGAAACACACGTCCAAACAGAGTTGGATATCGAGATTTTAGATCTGGAAACAGTAGAAGCAGCTTTGTTAACACGGATTCTGTGGCATACACAGGACAAAGCACAAACTGCACTTCTGTTCCTTCTAACGACTCCAAAATCAGTCTTGAAATATGTGCTCCAAATACATCTAGGATATAGAGAGACCTCGACCTAGATTCTTGGTCTAA